AGAGAAAGAAAGAGAGAGAAAGAAAGAGAGAGAAGGAAAGAAAGAAAGAAAGAAAGAAAGAAAGAAAGAAAGAAAGAAAGAAAGAAAGAAAAGAAAGAAAAGCAATGCAGTGCCAGCCTCCAGACCAGAGGCCTCTCTCCGTCCTGTCTCTGCCCAGGTGATGTCAGGGCATAGCCCAGGGGTGGACACAGCTGGCTGCTGTAGGTTTTCAAGGTGTGTTCGCCAGGTGACAAATTGCTCCTGCTACTGGGGGGCGAGGTGGTGCCCGGGAAGATGAGGGGCTTGGGGGGCTGTGTTCCGTGCCTGTCTGTCCTGGAAGGGCATTATCTGGAGCATTAGTTTCTTTTATTTTTTTGATAGTGGAGGTTGAACCCAGATCCTCTGCACTGAGCTACATCCTCAGCTCTTTTTATAAGTTTTATTTTGAGACAGGGTCTCAGTAAGTCACTAAGTTGCCCAAGCCAGACTTGAACTTTCAATCTTCCTCCTCAGCTTCCCAGCACACAGAGATTACAGGTAGACACAATTGTGCCTGGCTCAGAGCATTAGTTTTCTAATTTAACTTTTTACATGGTGGTAAAATACGCCTAAGCTAACACTGACCTTTTCCATCATTTCACCACACAGTGCCGTAGCACTGATTACCTTCACACTGTGGTGCATCCTCCACCATCTCGCAAAGCTGACATTCTGAGGTGAGGGATGCACCTCAGCGGTACGGTACTTGTCTAACCTGGGGTTCGATCCCTAGCACCGCAAAACAAAACAACAAAACCTCTGAAACTCCGTCCCCATAAGCAATGACTCCCTGTCCCCTCCCTGCCCCTGGCCCCACCATGCTCCTGTCGCTGTGACTACTCTAGGAACTCCGTGAGTAGAATCATGGCGTTGTCCTTCAGCGTCTGGCTTCTTTCACCCAGCACAATGTCTGCAGCCCCGGCGTGGGTCAGCGCTGCATTTCTCTCTGTGGCTGAGTGATCGTCCATTGCAGGGCGGACACTGTTTAGGCATCGTCCACCGATGGACACTAGGTAGTTTCTACCTTTTGGTAATAGTAAAGTATGCTGCTCTGAACGTGGGGGTACAACCCCCACCCCCAGGTCTTTGAGTCTGTGCCTAGCAGTGGGGCTGCTGTGTCTCATGGTCTTTCTATGCAGCACTGTTTTTAATGACAAGCCCACTGCTTGAGCCAGGTCACCCTGAGATCTCACTGGCCTGGAGTGGGGCCCCCAGATGCCTCTGTTTTAGGCTCCCTGGGTGTCTGCAGGAACCCCAGAAGTGAACCTCTGGGCCAGAGGGAGGCGGGGAGGAATGCGAGAGGAAGAGACAGCAGCAGGTGAATGTGGGCATGGGCTGCCTGGGAAGAGTGGCTCCCCACCAGTGCCCCGCCTGTGTGCCCAGCTAGTCCTCCCGTGTTGAGGTCAACATTTCCTCCTGATCACCCCCATGTTCTTCTTATCCCACTGCCCTTGGGCCTAAAATGGTCAGATTTACCAGATTAAAACACAGGATGAATCCAAGATGAATTTGAGTTTCAAATAAATAACAAAAATGTTAATACAAGTATATCCCTTATAATACTTGAGATATATGATAAAATTTATCATTTATCTGAAATTCAAATTTCCCAAGTGTCTTGTATCTTATCTGGTACTCTGCTCATGCCCCATTCAGACCAGGCCTTCGCCCTCTTCAGACTGGGACACCTTCCCCTACAAGGACAGTGTAGAAGGTGCGGGATGACCAGACCCCCTCCCACCCGCCCCATGGCCAGCCCAAGGCCGACAGGGACAGCTGCCTGGATGCCCTGTGTGGCCATGGGCTGCAATTTGCCACAGACCTCCGAGCCACTGAGGGACAGTCATGCTCATCCTGAACAGTGCCCATGGGTGTGGCCTCCGTGCTGCCGCCCAAGCTCAGGCGGGCTGCATCGCTGGCCACGGCTCCTTTGGTTTGCTGCTGTCCAGACTGCTCGCCCCCCGCCCCAGGCCTGGGAACCAGGGCTCAGCCTGCCTGAGGTGGGCCCACCAGTCAGCCTTCCAGAAGGCAGGAGGAAGTCGCACTTGTTCTGGAGATGCACCTAACTACTCTGACCAGGGAATCCCGGGGGAGGGCAGCCAGACCCTGGGGTCCTGCCCCTAGGCAGGAGCCGAGTGCTCAGCCTGCAGCCTGGGACAGACAAGGGGACCCCCAGCTCAGGCCTCCAGGGTGGGAACCAGGAGGAGCCTGGGGTCCAGGAGCCTGGCTGTGGCAAGCACCCTGCTGCCAACAGCCCAGCCCAGCCCAGCAAGGCCTATTTCGAGAAGGCCTCTGTGGTTACCCTCAGAATGATGAGCCTCAGCTTCCTTGAGGGTGCAGCCAGGAGAGGCCGAGGTGCTGCACCGCGACCCTGTTCAGCATCTATAGGGCAGGAGCTGTGACTGGACCTGGAGCCTCATGACCTCCGATATTATTACTCCATTTGCGGCAGGGAGCAGAGGGGGAGGCTCGCTGCTTGAGTCCCACAGCAGGGAGGGAAGGACGGTGTCCAGTCTGCAGATTCCACTGATGCCAGCTGTCACTGGTGCCTGGGGAGCGGGGCCTCCCCTGGGGCCATCCTAAGCACGTGCTTGTGTGCCCCATACTAACCCTGTGTGGCCTCCAGGCTCGAGCACCCCAACGACAGCTTCCTGGAGTCTGCCTGCTGCCCAGAGCAGCTCAGGCCTTAGCTCTCTGTCCTTCCTGCCAGCCGTGCCTCTCCCTCCTCTGTACCGAGGCGCCTGGACTCTACTTACCTCTGGTGCTTTGGTGCTGCTCCAGGGATGACAAGATGGGAGCACTGGGTGGCTTCATCTCCACACTCCTGAGTTTAGCTCTGAACCAGGGATGACAGGCAGCAGGGTACCCTGGGTGTCCCTGTGGCTGGCCAGAGGAACCTCGAGACCCTGGGATCTGTCCAGGGCTGAGGAAACAGCCTGAAGGGAGAGAGGAGCTTATTACGCCGGCCCCAAGAGGCCAGGGGCAACAGGCGCACCCCTCTTGTAGTCCCCACCAAGCTCACCAGCTGTCACTGTAGTTCTGGTCCTCACCTCTTCCTGTGCTGGGCTCTACCTCAGCCTTCCTTCCTGTCTGATTCAAAAGCCAACAGCCTTGTGACAAATCAGTGAGCTGGGGCTGCCCTGCGCTCACCTCTCTGGCTTTGTCACTACCCCAAGAGCGGGGAGACACGTTGGCATCTTGATTGTGAGACCAAGCATCCTTGCAGGCCTGATGTTCAGCAGAAAGTGGTGCCAAAGTGCCAAAGCTATGGACATGTCACCCTTTACCCCTAAAAAGGAAGAGAGATTCATCAACTGATAGTTGCTTTAGGTAGGTGGTCTGGAATCCAAGTGGGGATCTAGAAAGGCTGGGCTGCCCCCGACTTCCGGGCTCTCTGACCTTCTGACCCTCCCCTTCCTTCTCTAACCCTCTTGCTGCTTTTCACTCACTCACAGGCACCTGTGGCCCGACTACATCCCACAATGTCTTCCTGTGAGTCAAGAGGCCCCTGAGGGCAGGGCTCCTGCACCGGAAGCAGCAGAAGGCAGCTGCTCACGAGAGGAAGTCAAGTGTGGCCCCTGAGGGTGGACCAGCAGACAGCCTGTACTGACAGGAAAGCGTGTGGGGGCAAGGACACGGCCCAGGGTGACTACCATGAGGAAAGCTGCAGTAAAAGAAATGTACAGAACATCTTCCAGTGACAGGAAGCCGCCCACTTAGTATGGAGCCACCCAGGGAAATAGGTGACAAGGTGGGAGCCACGTGACGGGAGCTTTGGAGTCTGAATTTTCCTCAGCAATAGGTGGGAGCCAGCAATGGCTGTAGAGCAGGAGACTAATGACTTCAGATGCACACTGCAGCTGGTGTCCACGCGGGAGGGTGAGTGAGACTGTCCTTCTCCAGCACCACGGGGGGGAGGGGGAAGGACCTGGGGTGCCACATGGGAAATACTGCTTCATGGCGCCTCTGTCTGCCTCTGCCCCTGTCCCTCACCTTCCAGCAATGCCTTCTGAGCACTCAGAACAAGCCAGGTGCTGGGAGACACCACAGGGTCCCTTTGAGGACCCTGATGAGGCTCCAGGCAGGCAGAACCGGTGGCTGCAACCCAGCCGTAGGGTGCGGTGCAGGCGCATGAAACCAGGCCACTGGCAGGATACTGGAGACCGCAAGGGCCTGGCGTGTCTGTCACAAGCAAGAAGACAGAGGCTCACTCTGCCTCCCCCAGAGTCCCCGTGGATGGATGCTGAGCAGAATGAAAAGCTGCCTCTGCGGGGATCTTGGGGACCATCCCGGCAACCCCTCCCGCCCTCCCAGGAACATCTGCCAGCCCACACAGGCTCGAATGGGTGCCATTTCCCTGGCTCCTGGCAGGCTGGTGGTGCGGGTGGGGAGGGGGCTCTAAAGCTGGTTTTGCTCTGGACTTCCACCCACCCAGAGTGGGCTCGGCAGGCCAGGTGGTGGGGCAGCATAAGGCCTCCGGCTGAGGTGCCGAGCCCTTTCTTCTTAGCGAGCCTTTCTCAGGCCAGCGGCTCCTTGCTCCAGCTATGGCTGGGGCTGCAGCCACAGGAAGTGGGCAGACCTGGAAGTCTGGTCATATACAACGAAGTGCAGGTGATCTGGTAGTGTCCGGTGAGCATTCTGCTGCAGGCTCAGGGTAGGAAGGAAGCTTTTGGAAGACAGCGCCCTCCCCACTTGCCAGGAGGTGGCCCCTCTGCCCACCCTGCTTCTCCAGCCTCACTGCAGCTCTGCGCTGTCATTTTCCTTTTCAAGCAAATAGCTGGACGTAACACTGCATCCCCGAGTCCCATGTAATTTTTGTGGAGGGGGTGAAGCTTTTGCCCTGGACAGGGCCACATCTCTGATAATGGCTGTTCCTTTACCGCAGCGGCTCATTTTAACCCCTTTCTCTGTGGAAGCAGCAGCGGCTTTTCTCATGGAGGACAATGAAATGTTGCTTCACACGCAGGCCTTCGGTCCAGAGCTTTCCCTCCCTGGGCACAGCACATCCTCATCCCCTTTGGCCCAGGAAGCCCAAGCAGACCCAGTTCAGCAAGCTCAGGACGAGGCTCAGATCTAATCACCAGGCCCTTGTCCCCTTGGTGGGCACTTCAGAAGCTCCTAATCTGGCTCAACTCCTCTAACCCCTTCCCCTGACACAGACGGCCTGGAGCCTGGAAGTTCCTAACTGCTTTGGGGTCACGGACCCCTGCCAAGGATGGCTACCCCACCACCTTCCCCAGGGCCCGTGACACACACCTCCACCACACATCCTGCAGAGCTGATCTGAGATCCTGAGACTCCTGTCTTCGTAACTTCATCTCACGTCCCTCAGCAGTCCATTCCCGGGAGTAGGCTCAACCTCTTCATAGAAGGAAAATGTGACTTTTTTAGGCAGTACTGAGTGTTGAACTCATGACTTCCATGAGCTACATCCCCAGCCTTTTTGTTATTTTGAGACAGAGTCTCACTAAATTGCCCAGACTGGGTTCAAACTAGAAATCCTCCTGCTTTATCCTCGCAGAGTGCTGGGACTACAGGCCTGCACCACCAAGCCTATCCCTTTTAAAACAAGCCTAAATCCACCTTCAACTCAAAGCTGATTGCAAATCCTTGGCTTCCGTCTAATCTGCTTCTCTAGACAACATGAGCCAGGACTGGGTCCTTCGTACCTGGTCACAACCAGTACAAACACTACAAATTCAAGAAGCCCCACTTTCACCTCCTTCCCTGCTGCTCACCCTGAAGACCCAGGAAACTGCCCCTGATGCCACCCTTGAGGCCACTGAGCCCCAACTCCTAGGTTAGGTAGGAGACAGGCCAGTATGTCTGCTCTGGACGGACAGTCTGACCACTCCATATGCCCTGCTCATGGCAGGGGTAGCGCTTTGCCCTCGCTCTGTAGACAGGCAGGCGGACCAGTGGGCCCAGCTGGGGCCCATCATGCACCTGTCACACCCCCACAGCAAAGCTGGGGCTGTGGACCGGCCCTCGCTGTGAGCAGCAAGCACTGCGGCTACGCTGTGACGACCCGTGTGGGTGAAGGCCGAACAGACGGGTGGGTGTAGAAATGGATGAGCACCTGCATCTGTTATCTAAGAACCAAGGGGAAGTAGGGAGCTAGTGGGCCTGGCACCCTCAAGATAAAGACAGAAGGCTGGGGACAGTGGGCAAGCAGTGAGGCCTCAGGCTCCGAGCCTGCCCTTGCGGCTTGTGGGGAGTATAGCATCTAGGTTTTTATAAAGCCTTTTGTTTTTATTGCACATCATATAAAAACAGCTGTTCTGTATTTAAGACAGACACGGACGTTCACAGGATATGGAGGCCACCGTGCGCAAAGCACTGCTGGAGGCTTCGATGCGGGACGGAACCCGCCAACAAAGCACACACTTGTTCTGGGGGCTGCAGAGTTGTGCGGGGCACACACTTCCACCACACATCCTGCAGAGCTGATGCACCATCCTCTTAAGAGACTGCTGGTGATGATGACAAATGTCTAGGCAGAATGGCTGGGCCAGGAGCTGCACCTGGAGCACGGCAGTATAGGAAGACCAGTCACCTGGTCTGCTGGTAGTGGCTGAGACTCGTCTGTGTGCTGGAAAGGCAGCCCGGCTGGCTGGGGCAAGCTGGACCTGATGTTCATCTCAGAACACACTCCTGGGCAGTTGTCCCTGGGCCTAATGGACACATAGTGGCAGATGGGGCGGAATCCAGCCTTGTGCTGGCCACCTGGTGTGACTCCCTGCCCCTCAAGAATTCATGGACAGGGCCCTGCGGGGCTAAAGGGACAGACTCGCACTGACGGGGGAAGGGAAAGGCTGTCCATACAGTGGGCGAGGCACTCCAGCTGCCGCGCCCGAAGGGGGAGGCCAGAGGAGGAAGCGGGGGTCGCGGCCATCATTGTCCCGAGGCCCAGAATGCCTGCGGAAGCCAGTCTCGTTCTGGCTGCCGGGCCTCCCTGCAGATGCCTGGGGGGTGAGGGCCGCTGGGCGCAGCCACCCACAGGTTGCTGGACGGGCAGGACTGTCAGTCCCGCTCCCCTTTCTTCCTGCCCCTCTGCTGCTGCCCCTTCTGCTTGAGCTTCTCCTTCCGGGCTGCAGCGGTGGTGAAGGTAATGCAGAGGGCATCCAGGGTGTCCAGCAGCTTGCCCATGGCCACGCGAATGCCGTCCCGCTTCAGCTCAGCCTGCAGTTCCGACAACTCAAGTGGCTGATACATGAGCACCTTGCGGTACAGTGCCGGCCTGGAGCGGATGTAACGTCTCACAGCTTCCTCCGTGTCCGGCGCCTGGCTAGTTGCCTGGGATGCACTGACCCCCGCACCTTCATCCTCCTCCTCATCACCTACAGACTCAAAGGTGGCTCCAAACTCACAGGAAGAACTGAAAAGAACAGACAACATTTGTGACACCTTTTCTCCCTGGCCGGAGCCCCTTGGAGGGAAGGAGTGTTTCCATGGCTCTTCAAGGCCTGGCACGTGCAGGGACAGCCACCCAAGGGGGCAGAATGCTGATGGTGCCCCACAGGCTACTGTGGTTCTGAGGCTCTCCAGCTAGGGCAGCCCAGGTGGGGTCCCCCTTTGCTAGAAGTCCAAGCCTGCAGGCAAGGACGACAGATCCTGAAGGCCTGCTGGGGGCTCAGGAATGGCCCTTTAAACTGCCCGGGCCTCCTGCACTGAGCCCAAAGTGGGCTGCTCAACATCGGGCATCAAGCCTCCCTGACACCCATTCTCACACGACGCCACCGACCCCACTGCTTCCATCTGGTTACCTCTGTGAGCTAAAGGAGGTGTCGCTGCTGTCCACAGAGGTGGCCGTAGATTCCTGGGAGGCTGGGAGCTGGGTGTCAACATCAGAGCCTGGAGGGGGCTTCTCAGCTGGGGGCCTGCTCCCCCGGTGTGGGATGCTTTGGCCGGGCTGCTTCTTTCGATGCTGAGGTCCCTTAGACTTCTGGGTGCTAGGACCCTCAGTGGCTTCGAGTGGGGTGCAACCTCCCACCCTGGAAGGCTTGTAGGTCTCAGTGGGGAGAGTCTGGCTGCAAGGCCACTCCTGGGGCACCTGTGAGGACTGGATCTCATCCTCAGAGTCTGACTCCAGGGTCTGGTGAGTGTACTGGAAAATCTCCTTCAGTTTCAGAACCATTTGGCGTTTGGGCAGAGGACGGACTCCAAACCTGCCAGGGACACAGATGAAATGCGGGCCCATCAGTGTGGCCCACCTATATACTCCACACTATGTCCATGTTAGGAAGGACCAAGAGATGTAAGCAATGGCTCTGTGGGATCCAGACCTTAGATGTTCAATGTTTATGAGCATTCAGAGGTTAGCATTTGTCCTATGAGTCACCCAAGTTTACACAAAAGAATATTCCAGAAGAGTTCCCCCCACAGTGCTCTGCATGCTGGTGGGAGCACTGACTTCTCCAGGTATCCAAGCTCAACAGCAGTATTAAGATGTGACAGTTTTTATATTCTTTTAAAAATGAGCTGGGTGTGGTGGCACACACTGTGATCCCAGCACTTGGGAGGCTGAGACAGGAGAATCCCAAGAGTTCAAGGCCAGCCTGAACTATATAGCGAGACCCTGTCTCAAAAAAAACCCAGAACAAAATTCTTTTTTTTTTTTTTTTTTTTGTCTTTTTAAGGAAGGGTCTCACTATGCACTTCAGGCTGGCCTTGAGATCACTTTGCAGCCCAGGCTAGTCTCGAACTTGCAACAATCCTCCTGCCTCAGCCTCCCGAGTGCTGGGATTACAGGCATGTGCCACCATGCCCGGCTAAAAAAATTCTTTTAAAAATAAAGTCTTACTCAGACTGTATGGATAGGGTCCCCCTTCCATCAACATGGGGCATGGAAATACCCAGTGAATAACCCAAAGAAGGTTCATTTGTTGACTTCTAAGGAGCCCGAGGCATGTGGGTAAAGTACTCAGAGAAGTGAGCAGTTCACTCCACTACCCAGTGGCCACATATGCCCCGCAGAGCAGACTGCAGAACCTTCCTCCCCAGCCCACACCCTGCAGCCACCAGACTTGAGGAGCCACATGCTGGATCCTTCTGTGCCGACTTGCTGAGCCGGGTTATGCAAAGGAAGGAAAAGATCATTTATGAGCCAGCCTGGCAGAAGAGCACCCACCTGTCCAGTTCTTTCTTTAGCACCGGAGTCTCCATGATAGAATACCTTGGCATTGGAGTTATGGGCACTTTGGGGGGCAAATTTTTCTTCCGATTAGCACCTTCTGGATAAAATAGAGGAACCACATATATCAGCATGAGAGAGGAGGGTTTGCTACCACTTCTGGGTCCTGAAGTATCATCAAGAAAAACTGCTAAATTTAATAAACAAATTCAATAGCGTAGCTGGATACAAAGTCCACACCCAAAAAATCAATAGCCTTCCTGTACATGAATAACAAACTCACTGAGAGAGAAATTAGGGAGATACCACCTTTGTAATTCAACAATAAGAAGGTACCCATGTAAAAAGGGGAAAGGATCTGTCAGGTTTCTTCAAAGAAGACACTCAGATGGTCCATAAGCACATGAAAAATACTCAGCATTATGAGCCACCGAAGATGTGCAAATAAAACTCAGCCACTCCACCTTCACTAGGATGGCTAGAAGGAAACGCAGAAAACAGGAAGTGTTGGCGGGGATGGGGAATGGCAGGGATGGAATCCTCACATACTGTTGGCGCGAGATGAAATGAAGCAACATCTTTGGAAAACAGTTGGTAGTTTGGTTGGTAGTTCCTCAAAATGCTAAACAAGTTACCATATCACCTGCAATTCTACTTCTAAATTTATATACAAGAAAAATGAAAAAAGAAACACGATATATACTGTACAGGTACAAATTCCCTATGATAAATATTATTGCTATTTATATGTAAAATGTACCAATAAAATTAAAAAACAGAAAAAGAAAAATGAAAATTTATGTCCATACAAAAACTTATGTGTGAATGTTGATAAGCAGCATTTTCGTGATAACCAAAAAGTGGAAACAACGTAAATGTTCCCGATGGATGAATGGATAAGCAAATGCTGTGCACTGTGTGTCACTGGGGCAGGAGCTGAGTACAAAAAGGAACGAAGCACAGACTCACACTACAACGTGCGTAAACCTTAAGAACCGGGCCGGGGACATAGCTCAGCGGCACAGCACCTGCCTGCCATGTGCAAGGTCCTGCGTTTGATTCCCGGTACCAAAAAACAAAACAAATACCTTGAAAACCTTATACTGAGCAAAAGAAGCGAGGCACAAAAGAGCACTACTGTATGATCCCATTTTTGTGAAATGTTCAGAACAGGCAAATCCACAAGGACGGAAAGTAGAACAGATGCCAGGGGCTGGTGGAAGGGACTGCTAATGGGTATGGGACTTTGTTTCAGGTGTTGGAAACATCTGGAATGAGATGACAATGGCTGCACAGCACTAAATATTCATCTAACCATTCAGTGGTATACTTTAAAAAGGACTGTTACGGTATATGAATTATAGCCCAATAAAGCTGTTACTTAAAAAAAAATCATTTTTTTCTTTTGGTACTGGGGAGTGAAGCCAGGGTCTCCATACTGATCTACATCTCCAGCCCTTTTTTATCTTTTATTTTGAGACACCGTCTGCTAAGTTGCTCAGGCTTGGCTTGAACTTGTGATCCTCCTGCCTCAGCTACCCAGAGTGCTACAATCACAGGTGTGGACCACACCAGACTCACATCAGTTTTTTAAAGACAAATGGAAGAGATGAGGAGCATGGAGCCTTCTGACACCTACAGTGAAGTAGCAGTTCTGGATCCTGTTTCAGAGCCTTTTTTTTTCTTCTTGCTACCAGGAATTGAACTCAGGACCTTGTGCTTGCCAGGCAGGTGCTTGTGCCACTGAGCTATATCCCCAGGCCCTCAGAGTCCATCTTGAAGGACACCTCAGATTCAGACCAAGGTGCCCCAGTTTTAGAGCCCTGCCTGGGAACTGGTGAGAAATGCAAATTCTAGGTCACGTGGGGCCCCTGAAGCAGAAGCTCTGGTGTGGGACAGGGTGGGGTAGGCCACATGGTTTAGGAAACTCTCTGGGTGACTCTGAAGCCCTTGAAGGCCGAGCGCTGGCAGTGGCCTAAGTCACCTAAGATTTCAAGAGGGCGGGAAGCACCAGGCTTCAGTCGTTCACCCTCAGTGCTGCGTTCTGTCCCCACCATGGAGGGCGGCTGGCCTTGTCCCTCCTCTCCACAAGTGCCTGGCCCCTGGCAGTGGTTTTAAGTGAGCTGGGGTGCCTTAAATAAGCCAGAAGTGGCACTCTTCCCCATGGGGGCGAGGAAGGACAGGGCCCACAGCCTCCCCACGCTTTCTCCATTTGCGAAGGTTTCTGTTCTGCTGCTAAGGATCCAACTCAGGCCATGCGAAGCACATGCCCTTACCACTGGGCTACATCCCAGTCTGCTAGGCTTTTCGTGGGGTGAGATTCACAGAAAACGTGCCACTTAGCCACTTAGGACATTTACAATGTTGGTCAACCATCACCTCCATCTAGTTCCAGAACTTTTTTTTTGTGCCAAGAATTGTACTCAGGACCTTGTGCTTGCCAGGCAGGTACCATACTGCTAGGCTGTATCCCTGGCCCCTCGAGAACATTTTTTTTTCTTTCTGGTACCAGGAATTGAACTCATGACCTTGCACTTGCCAGGCAGGCACTGTGCCACTGAGCTAAATCCCCAGCACACCCCCTTTTTTTCTTGAGACAGGGTCTCATTATGTAGTCCAGGCTGGCCTTGAATTCACTATGTAGCCCAGGCTGGCCTCAAACGTGCAGTGATCCTCCTGCCTCAGCCTCTCGAGTGCTGGGATTACAGGCGTGCACTACCATAGTTCCAGAACATTTTTAATGCCCCAAAGGAGACTGTACCCAATAATCAGTCACTCCCATCCCCTTCCCCTCAGCCCCAGGCAACCCCTAGCCTCTGTTCCATCACTCTGGATTCGCTATTTCACAGGAACTAAATCATTTCACAGATGACCTTTTGTGTCTGGCTTCTGTTACCTCGCACAGTGTTTTCACCTATGTTGTGGCAGGTGTAAGGACTTCAGTCCATGACCAAATACCACTCCCCACATGGATGGGCCACACTGTATTTACTCATCTGCTGACAGACACCGGGCTGCTTCCACCTTCCCTCACTGTGACTAGTGCTGCTCTGGACATGCACCGCCAAGGATCTGTTTCAGTCTGTTTTCAATTCTTTTGGGTAGGTAAGCATGGAGTTGCTGGGCCCTATGATAATTCTATATTCAACTCTGTGGCGTTGGGGATGCAACCCAGGAGCTCAAGCCCACTAGGCAAGTACTGTCCTACTGAGCCACACTTCCAACCCTGAGGAGCCACACTTGCCCCACCTTAAGGTACAAATGGGATGCCTACTGCTCAGACTTGCCACCACTGGGGGTGCTGGCTGAGTTTTGTAGGGGGTCCACCAATATGTACCTTTACCAAGCACCCAGGGGAGTGCTGGCTTGGATGCAGGCTGGTGCAGGAAGCACTGACTGGCTGGCACAGGCTTGACGCCAGCCAGTCTCCCTCCGTGTGGAAGGGGTCTGGCCAGGTGAGCCAGCGCTTCACGTCGCCCGGACCTCCACGCCCCACCAGGTGTAGACAAGACCCCTTCGGACCCTAATGCCACTCACTTGGTGTCTCTGGCCCATCTGATTTCTGAGCTCGGAGGGCACCCGGTGTGTGGGCCGCAGGAGCCTCTGGAGACTTCTGCCCTTCCTCCTCCCAGTCTTCCCAGAGGGCTGGATTCAGGAAGCTCAGCCTGCTGCCCCCCGGGGAGCCAGCTCCTGAGGACTGCTCTGGAGATGCTCTTCTGGCCGTACCACTTGCCCGGATGGGGGTGCTGCCCAAGAGTCCTGGGGAGTGGCAGTCACCATGGTCCAGAGGCTCCTGGGCCTGGCTACTGGGACTGCTGGTGCTCAGGGGGCCGGTGCGCTCGAGGTTCAGGTGGTCAATTGGAATTGGTGAGAGGGGCTCAATGCTCCAACAGTCATCCACAGGGATGGGGGGCTCGCTGTCCAGCAGGGGGCTCCTGTTCACCCGATGAGAAGCTACCTCCTGCTCATCTTCACTGTCCCCAACTTCCACCACTTCGCTCACTGCTGCCTGCTTTGGTGAGTGTTTGTGGACTGGCCCAGTGATATCAGGGAGGCCTCCTGCCGCGGGACATGAGGCCCTTGGGGAAGAGAGCTTGTGGTGCCTGGACTGGGAACGGGAAGGGCTCCTGTGCACCTGCCTTCCACGGCCAGAAGTTCCCGGAGGCATAGGTGACATCAGGGGTGTGATGACTGAGAACTTCTGTGTGGCCTCCGACACTGGGCTATTTTCCGGAGTGGCCCTGGATGAGGGCTGCGCCATCTTATCCTCTGCAGGCCTGGCCCTGAGGCTTGTGATCTGGGTCTGTGACGAGCAGTCACGGCTCCTGCTGATTAATGGGGTGGCGGGCACTAGCCAGGAGGCATCTGTGGTACTGTCCTCATCAAGGCTGCTCTCACGGTCAGAGATCAGCCAGGAGGCCCTTGTGCTGCCCACAATACCCTGATTCTCCAACTGTCCCTCCCCAGTCTCGAGCTCAGCCTCTCTCCTCGGGGGGCTCTGAGAATGCTCTTGATCTGCGTCGACATCGATGACTGGAAACAGCTCAGAGGACCTGTGGCTGACTTCTAGAACATTCCTTTCTTCTGTGGGACCATTAGAAACCAACTTTGCTTTGGTCTGTTCTAGCTCCAACTCTTCATCTGAATCCAGTAAAAGGATGATCTCGTTCTCTCCGCTCACCTGGGAGGCAGGACCCTGGGATGTGCTACTTGCAGGGTCAGGAACTGACTGGGTCAGGTCAATGGGTGGGGATTTTTCTGGGGAAATCAAGACACCCTTATTTTTGCGTTCCAATATGGAACGACACCCTCGGCCTCTCCAGTGGCCTGGCTCCTTAAGGACTGTGAGAATGTCACTGTCTTGCTTTGATGGCAGAGCTGGAGATCTTGAGCTAGGGGAGGACACCGTGGGAACAACACCGTGTGGCCGGGGCGCGGGCGGGGATGCATCACCCGTGTGAGGAAGGTGAAGCTGCGATCGGCTGGGACTCCTGTCACCAGGAAGCCACGATGCGGGGCAGCAAGGGTATAGCTGTGGAGCGGGAGTGCAGGCCATGTCCACCTCTTTCTTCCTGACGGCGTCACCCTGCTCCTGGTGCTCATTCGCTATCTGGGACATTTCAGAGAATTCTCCTTGAGGTGACAAAAAGACACGTTCATAAGCAGGGACCTCACACGAGTGCACAAGGTCTCTCCCGGCCTTGCAGGCCCCGGGAGCGCTGCAGGAGCTGGGGCCGGGTGCCTCCTTCGGTGCCGTCTGCTGGCGGGTCTCTGCACCCGCTGCCCTGTCTGAGCATCCAGCTGCGGGCAACAGGAGGGAGAGCCCTGCGTCTTTCCCACATACTGGGGACTTATATTCTTGCAGCCCCAGCAACTCTAACTGGTCTCCCTTCTCCAACTGTTTGCTTCCCAGGACATCTGCCGGAGGGGAGCCAGCGGACGGACTGTCCTCTCCTGGCTGGCCAGGTTCCTCGTCTGTATCAGGGGCTCTTTCCTGCTGCAGCAGCTTTCGCTGAGTGGCTGCGAATTCGTAAATTTCTTCCATGTCTGCTTCATTCACCTTTTCTCTGTCTTCTTCAGATTTCAACAGTGTCTCTGCTTCTTCCTCGTCGTCTGCCCACATTGACCTCAAGAGCTCTTGGAAATTCTCCACTCTGCTTTCACAGTTCTCAGCTTCTTTCTCCTCCTGCCACTCGCCCTCCATGCCCATCACAGCAGGCACCTGCTCACACAGGCGAGCAAGGTCACTCACACCAAACCTGCAACAGAACACAGTCACCGCCGTGCTGCGTGGAGGGGCCTGTGGGCACCTGGGAGGCGGCCGGAGCAGTCCTTAGGGGAAGAACAACAGTGTGGCCCACCGCGGCTTTCCCCGGCCTCCCAGGATGGAACCCACACGCCTGCACTGGAACCACCCAGCGCTAGCTCTAGAAACCCACAATGCTGTAATTTTGCTGCTGCAAACATAGAGGTACGTCAGACTGGGTCTGAGATCATGGAATTGGGGTCGGCGCTGCAAAATCAGGCAGATCATGCTGCTCTGACAGGCCTTCAAGACACCATGCCTGAGACAAACCTCAGCAGACCAGCTCACTGGAGGCCAGCTGGCCAAGGCTTCACCCAACTGGCACACTTCAAAGCCCTGGGGCCAAGGCATTCCTCCCCAAGGGACCTGAGGGCTGAACAGGCGTGGGAGGAACAAGCCCTCCAGAGCTCCCTGAGCCCTGGCGGGGGTTAGATGCCTGGCTGCTACTGCTCTGCTCTCATGGGGACCATCACAAAGCTCAGTGTGTGGGATGTGAAGGCTGTGGGCCACCCTCTTGCCATGCCTGGTAGTCTTCCCCACCATGCAAATGCCCGGCCCTTCAGGTATCTGTTCCGACGGCCCTGTGGCTAAGAGGCCTTGGAGAGGGGGCCCTGAGCACGGGCTTGGGGCTAAATAATATAAGCAGGACTCAAGGTCTTGCTGTCCTCAGCCCTCACCCTTCTACAGCACAACCCTCCTAAACTACCAATCTTGGACCCTGTCACCACCTCTCACAGACTGGGGAGTCCACGGGAAGAACAAGCCCAACCTGCGGGCCAGGGTGCCCAGGTCAGCCGCCAGGTGGGGCAGCAGACCAGCGTCTGCTGTGTAGAGATAGCGCAGGAACACACAGGCGGCCTCAGTGCTCACACTGCTCAGCAGCACACGCTGGGTCTCGTCCCCATCTTCTATGGCAGAGAAGCCCTCATTATTCACCTAGGGTGAAATGAAATGTAGAAGTCGGCTTACTGACCAACTGCCGCAGACAGACCACCTGGATGTCCATGAAACTCCAGCCCCAGAGTTCCATGCTCCAGAAAGGCATGGGCTAGTATTGTGCATTTTCTTGGCCAGAATTCTACAGGTTCAGCCATAGGACTTCTTTGTTTTCCAAATCAATTTAGGGATGCATATTAGGGCTTCAGGGAGCTGATCAGTTTCCCTTGACAGACTCTAGAACTCTCCGGCAGACTGTGCACATCAGCCTTGAAGGGAGCAACAGTGACCCTTGGAAATGATGCAGGTAGAAGAAAGAAGAAACAATTCGTGGAGGGCGGTTCACTCAATGGAACAAAACTCTGACACTTCCCCCACATTTCCTGCCTTGAGGCTACGCCGCCTCTCCCTTTCTCCACAGAAGTAGAACAATGCTGGCGATAGGGGAACCACTCTGGGGTAAGGGTGGGAGACAGGGGTGGGAGGAAGGGAGGGAAGAGAGGCATGCTGCATACTCACATACTGAATGAGAAGTGGACACCGGGCATAAAGCACAAACTTGTGGGCATAAACTACTTCCCCGCTGTCTGTCTGGAACTGAACATCGCTCAGGTGTGGGTTATTGACCATGGCACCAAAGTCAGCAGCCAGCAACCCGAGGGAGAGCTGCACAACAGGACAGGAAGAGAGCCGTCAGCTTCTCTAACTAGGCTGTGAGGTCCCCAGCTGAGGGTGAGCTGAGAGCCAGGACCTCTTCTCTTCTCCATCTCGGGGTTATCTTAGGGTCCTGAACGATCCAGAGTAGCAGAACTCTACCTTCTTTCTCTGGGCCTCTATTACAGTACATTGCTGACCTCAGGTACGAGTGACCAGCAAGTGGATGTGACTCTGGTTATAACCAAAATGTTGTAACAGGACCGGGGCCCTGAGCCCAGCTGTTCTGGGACTTGCCGCTCCCCAACTATGTATCGTGATGACCCCAGGCTGGTTGCTGGCTTGAGGTACTGGGCTAATTCTGGTACTTTAAGGAAAGCCCGACTTATAATACTATTCAGTACCAACACAGGACCCTGGGTGGTAATTACAGCCTGGCCCAGGACCCTATACGGTCAGCTCCTCATGTTCGAGAGAAACCATGGAGAAGCCAGCAGAACAGATGCCTAGAGGCGGCGGTGCATAGACAGCCAGTGTTTTCCTGGGACTCTGAGGCAAAGTGGATGCTGGGGTCAGTTGCGGGGGTTATTCAGTGTCCTCAGACAAAAGGGACAGAAGCCTTTGCAGCAGTGCCTCAAGAGATATGACGGGAGGCCCAGTGGGTGCTCAGCTGGCTCCACTCAAGGGCTGTCCAGGTACACTGGTCATCAGGAAAGCAGAGACTAGGGGACCAAATAAGAGTGGTCAAGGTCACACTCAGCTCACAGTGCCAAAGCCCCTGTGCTTACCGAAGTGTGGCTGTCCCTCTCAAGGGGCTTCTCCTCGGGTGGCAGGACAAAACCAGTCAGAGGAAGGCTGCTGGGCACCAAATCCAACCCTGAGAGAAGAGTTTGCACATTAAACAAGTATCACTTCCCAGCAACGCCAACTGCCAATGGCTGCGTTAGACCCAGTGGCACCTCAGGGTACTTTCATTAAAGCACACTTATAAGATGTTTTAACAACCTTCCCCAAAAGGGAGATAGAGGGACAATAAAAGAGAGAAAATTACCCAGACACCCTGTCTTCGTTTAAAGTTTAAGAAAACTGTGACAGTCACAAGTGGCTACGTCACGTTCACCTCTGAGAAAAACGAAAGCACCCCGAGTCTGCATTCTCCCCCAGCACCAGGATGTGCCTCGCAGTCTCAGGCCCGAGCTGCCCTCATAGTCTCTCCGCACCTCAGACTGAGTGGCTGCCCCAAACATCCCACCCAGCGTCTCACCCGCAGCCTCTCCAGAGCAGGCCAGACCCCTGCTGCAGGGCCATGGGCTGGCACTCAGCCCTTCCTCTGCCAGGTCCACGAGGTCCTGCAGGGCCTGCTGCTCCCTCTGGCTGGCAGACAGGGATGGGTCTCTGGGGCTGCTGGCGGCATGGGAGCTGCTGTGAAGGGCAGGTGGACTTTGTGTTAGCTTGGGTTCCTGTGTGAGACCCTGCGAGGAGGAAAGCCAAAGTGACTGTGTGCTCATCGTCACTGGCACACGCACTGTGGCAGCTGCCCCACATATGCGTGGGTAGGCGTAAAACCACAGAGAACAGGACAAGGGCTGTCCCCTTGTCCCCCAGCGGTGGCCTGGAGCAAGCCTGGGAAGCTCTCCCGGTCCCTGAGTCAAAGGCTTCTGCCACAGCCAGGCCATCCTGTGGCATCCCAGTCTGCAAAGGTTCATGTGAGAGTCAGAAAGGTCCTGGGCCGGCTGATCTCCTATCTAAATGGTCACACAGCAGGTTAAGGACTGGCTCAGACCAGCTACAGCAGGACTGTCCGGAGCACCCATGCAGAATGGAGGTTCTTAGGCCTATCAGAGCTTATACCAGCCACCTTGGTACTGGGGCCTGGAGTCTGCACTTTACTTTATATTATTTTATTTTCAATTTTGGGATGGGATCTTGCTAAGTTGCCCAGGCCAGGCTTGAACTTGCAATCCTCCTGCCTTATCCTCCCAGTATGCTGTGATTATAAGAGTATACCACCATGCCCAGCTTGGACTCTGAATTTTAAACTCGCCAAGAAAACACTGAACTTAGGGAAGCGAAGTCCTCTTTTCTTATCACAACTGCCATTTTTGTTTGCTTGTTTATTTTATGAGACAGGCTCCCGCTATGTAGTTTAGGCTGCCCTTGGACTCACTATGCAGCCCAGGCTGTCCTCATACTCACAGTGATCCTCCTGCCTCAGCCTCCTGAGTGCTGGAATTACAGGTATGTGCCACCACGCCTGGCTATCAGGACTGCCATTTGGTTGCTTTAAAGAGAAATAAGCTACAGACGAGGCCCTCTGGCTTCTACTTCTTAGACTTTCTGCCCCGCTCAACTATGGTATCCACGGCTTCATTTCTGAAACTGCCTACCTCTCCCCAAAGCCTGTCCATGTGTGCACCAGAAGGGGCAGGGCTCACCTTGGTGGGCTGCTGGGGCACAATGGGAGGCACCAGGCCCACTGTGTAGAAAGACTCCAAAGCCCAGGCTCCGGTCAGGGCACTGCCCTCCCACAGGAAGTTCCCCTTTCTTCCTTCTTCCTGTAGACGCCAACCTGCCTCTTCCAGCTTGTCCCTGAGAAGCCTGCTGACAGGAAGTGGTGGTGTGCTGGACAGTTCCACTTCTTCCGAAAGGAGCTGGGCTACACGATCCTCTATCTGTCTACCTGTGGTGTCAGCGTCCTGTACTAATAACTGTGGCGGGGACACCAGGGCTTTCTTCTTGCGACTTTTCTTCTCTAGAGATAAACAAAAGGATAGTCAGTAGTGGATCTGTCTGCTCATCTGGAAGCTGCTGCTGGCCAACTCTCAGCTGGCAGCAGAGCAGCAAGCTCTCCCCAGGGCCTCTGCTCCCAGCCACGTGTACCTGCTCCTGGCCTCATCCTCTCAGAAAAAGCACTTTCCAGTCTGAGTGCAGGCACAGGTGGACCCTGCTCCATTTCAGATCGGGACAGAGCCATGGCCACCAGAAGGTCCTCAGATGGTACCTCGGGTTTATCGACCTTCCGCCTCTTCCGTGGCTCCTTCTTGTTTGTGGCTGCTTTCCGCTTCCCACCTCCAACAAGGTTGCTAAAGCTAGAAGGCAGTCACAGAGAAAGGTCAGAGAGGGGCTCTCCCCAGACTGGGCCCGTCTGCCCCGTGTGGGATGACAGAAAGGGCAGTGTATTCCCTGCACGGGGCCACTGCTGCTTCTGCTCTCACTGTGCTGACTCCTCATGAGCTCGTCCAACCCAGGCCCAACAATCAGAAGTTCAAACAGGAGAGAGTCCAGGCCATTTCTGTGATACTGCACAGCCAGGATCTTAGCAGAGAGACGGAACTGTCAGCATACTTGCCAACCTAGATGTAGTTGAACCTTCTGGTGAGTCAACACTGAATGGCTCTGAGTTGGCTCCACGGATTCCCACCAAGCTCTGCCCACTAAAACTTCAGATGCCCCGAAACAGTTCCTATCGCTTCTTGGCCTTTTGGATAAGATCAAGTGTAGTACCTGAAACAGTTCCTGGCCACACTGATCACCTCCTGAAGAGGCCCCAGGGCGGCATCTCTGCCCAAAGCCTGAAGCAAGGGCCTCCCAGCTTCAGCCTCCTATAGTCAGCTCTCTCAAGAGCCAGTACATAGCACCTCTGCCCTAGGGAGATTAGCACAAGGGGTCTTGGGCTGGACAGAAGCTCCACTGCCTGTCTGGGAAGTAGGAGGGTAAGGCACGCGGCAACTCTGGGAGTAGCACCCACCCTCCCTGCCCTGCAGCCTTCGTCATGCCTCTGGCTTCTGCAAAAGTTGATGCTCTCCTCCCTGGGCAGCAATCATTGGAGATTTTCAGATGTGGCCTTAGAAGATCTAAGTAAGCCCTAACTCAGCTCTGGCTTCCTCCGAACCTGTATGAGCAGCTGGGTAGATGCCTCCATGAGTGTAGTGAGAGGCTGAGGCTGCTCTCCTGGGCTTCAGGCCAGGCCCAGCGCCAAGGAAAGCATGAGTGGGTGGTGGTGAGCAGACTGGCATGTGCACTCAGGCCAGGGAATTCTGAGCACCCCAAAGATCCAGACACCCAGGCCTGATCTTAGCAGAAGGGAGGTTCAAACTCCCCTGAAGGGTATCCAGTTCCTATAGCTTCCTATTTGATCAGCCTTCTAAAAGGCTTCACACACATCTAGTTTCAGTACTTGGAGGTATTTTAAAAGCAGACACAGGTGGTCTGACAGGCAAGCAATGGTTTAGATAACGTCTATTTTAAGGCCTTAAGGCTTCCTACCCTATGACACTAATGTGGATGTACTAAACATAGACAGACTTACTGGCCAAGAGACTCCCCTCTGAGCCTGGTATGGTGGTGCACACCAGTAATCCCAGCACTTGGGAGGCTGCAGCACGAGGATCACCACAAGATCGAGGCCAGCCAGGGCTACATAATGACCTTAGGGCCACATTCCATTACAAAGTAAAACCCTGTCAAAAATAAAAAAAAATCCTTAAAAAAAAGAGCGGGGGATGTAACTCAGTGCAAAGGCGCTGGCCTCAATCCCCAGCAGCACAAAAAGAAAAAACAGAGAATCCCCTCTGCCCTCTGAGCTCTCAGATCTGGCCCAGCCCTGCTGCCCAAAGCCTGTGTACAAGGCAGTGGCCAGGACAAACAGCCACCAACCTTGGCCTTCTTTCCCTTTGCTTTTGCCAGCTGTCAAAGGGAAGAAGTCCCCAAATGGGAAGTCAGGGGCCCACGCTGACTTTGTTCTGCGTGAAGCTGGCGTTACCTTGGCTGTCCTCAGTGGCAGGGGCAGCGTGAGCAAAGCGGACCCTCTGCTATTCGTGCGTCTGTGCACAGGGGATTGCATATTCTGACCCTGGCAAGAGGGGGCAGAGTCTCTGCATGCAGACCACAGACACACAAACAGGAGAGGGTCCTTGCACGCAGACCTTGCATAAGAGACTTCCTATTTTAATATACAAGCGCTAATTCAGGAAAAAAGGTGTTTTCAGGGAAATTTAAAAACACAAAAAGGTCCTGTAGTTCTGTCTCATCAATTCTTTTGAGCTGTGCTGAATAATCTGACATTAATACTATGAAAATTGAACTACACTAACACTGAAGCCACACTGACCAACCAAAACACAGAAAAGGTAAAGTGAATCCCAAATCCTTAGACTCTCCAGAGGGGCCACCGCAGGATCGTGGACTAGAAACACCTTAAGAAGGACCTCAAGGAAACTATCCAATCAGATTCTCTCCACTGAGGCTGCTGTGTGCATGCAAAAATCTGTGCCCTCCAGAATCCCTTCTAGACGGTGCCTAATTTCCTCTTCAAATGTTTCTATCACTTACGGAATCCAAGAGGGCTCCAGCACACTCCAGCCCTACAGAAAGCTTTGTAAAAAGTCAAACCGAGTACAAACACCATTATTTGGCTTAACTTTCTTCTCTTCTTTCACCTCACCTGGGTGCCAGAGGGCTGCTGCTCGCCTCGGGTGGAGCTGTCTGCATCCGCACGGCCTGCAGTAGCAGCTGGGGCCCCACTCCCATCCTTACTGCGCACTGCTTCAGGTGGCTGATCCGGCTCTTGGAGGTGGTAAACAGCTTGCCACAAATTGGACACTCAGGGATCTGAGGCATAGAAGGTCCTAGCGCCTTTTCAGCCTCATCCAAGCACCTGGAGGAAGACAGTAAACAGAAGAGAACCATGCTCCCCAGGGATGTGGATCATAGCAAATGCTGGATCCAAGTCAATATGGACGTGATGGCCTGTGCATGTTCCCCCAAACCACCCTTTCACACAGCCGGCCTGTCTCCCGGCAGCTGGCTCCAGACACAAATTTAGGTATCTGTTAGCAGAGGCGGCCACAGAAAGCAAGAGCAGATTAAACACAGTTACCTTACGAGCCAGCAAGTTTAGTTTTAAACATATGCCTTAAAGGACTGAAAAACAGGTATTCAACTATGACACAAATGTTTGCCAAAGGTGGAAACAACGCAAGTGTCCATCTATGAGTGAAAGGATAAATATGTGGTCTTTCATACAATGGGCTACTTACTACTCAACTGTAAAAATGAATGACACCCGTAAAAATGAATGGCCTTGATAAAGGCCGCACGGGTGAACTCTGAAAACAAGACGTTAAGTGAAGGAGGACAGACACAGGAGGGCAAGAACTATATGATTTCACTTACATGAAGTGTCTCGTAAGCAAATCCATAGACAGAAAGTTGGTTAGTTGTTACCAGGGAAATGAGGGAGGAGCAACAGGGAATAACTTTCCAGGGCTTCTTTCTGGGGGTGATGAAAATGGTCCCAAACCAAAACTGATGGTGATGGCTACACAGCTGCATGGATGGAACAACAGAAGCCATGGGACAATGTACTTTAAATGGTAAAAAGTGAGTTCTATATTGATAAAACTGTTTAGAAAACGGGATAGGTTGATCACCCTGAGGTGCTAATATCACAAAGAATGTCTCTAGAATTCTGCTAGAGCCTTGGGGGTACCCTCAGGTCACTCCCACGGGAAAGGGGAGGTCTGCACTGCTCCTACCTGTTCACGTGCTGCTCCCTCCGGGTCACGTTCATTGCGGAGAGGTTCTTCTGACACATCTGGCAGAAGAACAACCCCTTCGCCTCCAGGCCATCATCCTGCGCAGATGTACCTTCCCTACCAAACTCTTGTTGCAGGACCAAGGCCACTGTAGCATCACTGTCTGTGGCAGGGAGCCCCGGTCCATTTCCTGGGGAAAAGCACCGAAGATCTGTGAAGACACGCTGGCTCCAGACCTCGGTGTCATGTCTGTGCCTCACACAGCATGGACACCAGGGAGAGCACAAAGAAACCAGGGCCCAGTACTGCTCTGCACGCCTGGGGTGCTGCCCAGTGAAACTGGGCCCTGGGATTCCTAGAACTGCTCTCACCAAGCTTCAGTATACACACAGCACATCTACAGTGCCTGTGAAAACTTGGGCGGATTCAGGGAGTCCCAGTGGAGCTTGGGACTCTGCATCTCTAACCACCACCAGATGTGGTGATGCTGGTGGGCCAGGCCCACTTCGAGTATCGAGGTCCTCAGGAACTTGCCTTTCATCTTTCCCCTTATTAAAGCCTGCACCTCAGGCATTGCAAAGTCACAGAGCTCCCATCCCAGTGAACCCCATCCCTAGGTTTTCTCCTCAAAGTTGAGCCTTTCCCACTGCTGACCTTTTACTGCCCACGACAGAAGAACCAGGGCAGAGTGAACAACTTTCGGCGGTTAAAAGGCAGAGTCTCCCGCTTAGCATGAGACCAAAGGATGGTGGATTCTGGTCTTGAGAACACCCCAAAGTGGGTCACTCAATACCGTTCGGGCAAACCCGCAGCACTCACAAGGCTGTGTTTAGAACTTCATGGGTCCCCAGTTCTCAAGTGCTATGGCCTAATGCACCTGCCACTGAAGCCAGAAAAGCAGCACATCTTTACTCTACTTCCTTTCTTCTTTGGTGTGTATGTGGTGCTGTGGATTGAACTCAGGGCCTCATACATGCTAAAAATGCACTGTTCCATTTAGCTACACATTCAGTGCTTCCTCTTTTATTTTTTAAACAGAGAAATGGTTTATTCCTTCTTAAGCATTTGTTGGGTATGATGTGGAAATACATGCAGAAAAATGGTTTTAAATGTAGGGCAGGTGCTAGGCCCATGCACTGGCTGAGTGACTCCTGGGCCTCGCCATTTGCATCATGAGAGGACCAATCCTCAGCAGGTCAAAGCACTGCACATTGTGGACGTTTGGGGCAGCCTGAGACTCTTCAGTCCTCTCAAGGGGAAATAAGCTAATGCAGGACCAACAGACTCCATATCCATCAGCTCTAGGTCCACCACTATGGCTTCTCCCTGCTTTTCCTTTTATATGCGTTTATCAGAGATGAGGCTCTGAGGGCCAGGGATACAGCTCAGCGGCACAAACCGCCTGCCTGGCAAGCGCAAGGTCCCGAGTTCAATTCCCGGTACCAAAAATAAATAAATAAATAAATAAAAGAGATGAGGCTCTGCACTGCACAGGTGACAGATAGGGCCATCTACATTATGTGCCTCTTGCAGTGGTGCAAGACAAACCACACAGCACCTGTGGTATGTGGTCACCAAACCGTATAACCTGGAGCCAATCTGACCTCTGATTTACTTACCATGCACCTAAAATACAAAAATTAAGGCAAAGAGTTAAATCCTCAGGTTTACTTATAGTATACTGGAAATAGAAACATTAGAGGGAGGGGTTAAATCACTATCATGAGGAAACAATCAAGCAAATCCAGAAAGTACAAAATCTTCTAAGACAACTAGTCTAGTCTCTTTAAGAGTTAATGTCAGGCTGGGCACGGTGGCACACATCTGCAATCCCAGTACACAGGAGGTTCTCCTTGAGCTTGAGCTCAGCCTGGGCTACATGGTGAGACACTGCCTCAGGAAAACAAAAACAGTTAATGTCAACACAGAACAAAACCAACCAAGGGAACTATTCTAGAATCTAACCTTAAAGAGATTAAGCTACAGTAATATGCAGTGTGTGAATTTATACTGAATTCTTGTCATAGAAAGGAAACTAGCTATGAAAGATATACTTGGGGAGCTGGGGATTTAGCTCAGCGGCAAAGTGCCTGCCTGGCAAGCACAAGGTCGTGAGTTCGGTTTCCGGTACCGGAGAAAAACCAAAAAAAAAAAAAAAAGAAAGATATACTTGGATCCCTGGGGAAAACTCAACTGGATACCAGGCAATAGTATGGCATTAGGCATGATAATGGTATTGTGGTTAAGCAGGTGTGCAATGTCTTGATGTCTTGATGTCTATACCTTACTTTCCAATGAAACACAAGAAAAATATGTATATTTATAAAGACATTTAAAAATATATGGCAGGAACTTGAGACCATACTCATAAGTGAAATAAATCAGACGCACATGTGTAAACATCATATTGTTTCCCTA